CTTCAAGCAGTCCCCCCCCCCCCCCCTCCTCCAGCGTATGTTTAATAATGCGAATGTATATAATAATTCTAGCGGGTGTCTCATTATTTTACAAGAGCCGATATTAGACAGTCGCCAATGTGACAGCGTGCTCTTAGCTTTAGTTACCTCGGCAGGATATTCGGTGCGATGCCGATGCGATGTGTGTGTATGTATTTCGCACGTGTGACATCATTCGCGTGATGTAATCGTAGTGAGCGCGAGGCGTTGCGTCTCCCACGCGGAGGCAAGAGAGCATGTAACGCTTTATTAAATGAACACACGTAGAATCGGGTATACTCGATGGGTAGGCTCGTTAACGGTACGCACACAATGCCGCTTTCTTGATATCCGGTGACCCTGCAAACTTGACGATTACAGCAGCGGTGCAATTAACTAGCAGTAAGGATAAATTTGAGGAAGGCATGAATACTGGACGAAAATGAAAAGAAACAGAGATAAATTCTCGTTTAAAGCGACGTAATACAGTTTACCAATATGTGTTTTTTTTAATAATCGAGAAAAAATCAATTTAATTAATATATTAAAATATATGGAAAATGTAGAAACGACATGTCGTTTAACGCGAGGCGTTACTTATGGATGTTTAAGGAAATACCTTTTATCAAATGTATTTTAATAGTAGAGAGAGGTCTGACATTAAATCAGATTTATTACATGATAAATTCACAAATCAGATACTAAAGTTTATTTATAGCACTCCTTTTTAAAACGGATTTATCAGTATTTACTTTTTGATATCAAAAATATAATCTTTATGGAGTGAAAAATAATTATACTTATAGTATAAGGTTTTTATAACGAAGAGAAATTGTTGAAAAAGAATGTGTAAAAATTTGAGATGTCTTTTAATTAATTTGAAATTAATTTTTCTTAACGAAACTATCAATTAATAGTTTTTGCTTTATAAAATATCGAAATAAAAGGCTTCTCGCAAATTAAACTCTTTACAGTTGAAAATAAATAACAAATTTTAATCTTTATTTGATTTCAAAATTTTTGTATTTGAGTCCAAGTTTAAAAATTAAAGTTATGTAAAAAATTCATTATCAGTAAAACTTTCATTAAAAGAAAATCAGTTTTATACTGTAAAAATAATACGTAATTAAAGTTTTGATTTTTTTAGCAGTTTGAATGTATTCGTAAGAATAGAACTAGTGAAATTTATCGAAAAAGAATAAGAATCTATATATATTATGTTGTGTACAATCGCATTGCTCTGTCGAACAGTGTCGTGTAACATTTAATCTATTTAAAAAGTTTTTATATTATTTATTTAATTATTAAGCATTCCTGGAAGAAGGAAGAGAAAAAAAATTGCCCGTATAAAGAAGATAAGATTACTTTACCATTCTCTCTTATCTGTACGTAAAAATTAACTTACAACGATCAACAAGCTGACCATAAAGCTTACTAAAGACACGTTCTGTGTGCATCGTGTTGCTTACTATTATACTGCGTGGGTAGAAGAAGGAAGAAATTCTTATAATTATTGTGTCCTCGTTTATTTTGCGTGGTACCATCTTTCCTAGATTTATGATTAAAGATACATTCAACGTTAAATATTTTTTATATTATATATTTTTGAAGACTGTCCAGAGTAACTAATACAATTAAAAAATATTAATCCTATATAAAAAAAAATAACTTAAAAATAAACATTTTATATACAATTCTTTCCGTCTTTTTTGTGTAGTTTGAATTATTTTAAAGTATTTTACTAAATGGAAAAAATGTACTTTTGTATTTATAATAGTGATTATATTGATAAGAGATCATTTTAACGTCGCAAATTTTTCTTTAATTGCTCTCGCAAATTAATGACCTCGCTGTTTCAGGTGCACCCTTTTTAAGGGTTAGGCAGAAGTGAGCTGTTGGTCCGATTGACAAAATGACGACCGATATCTCGGTGGTGCGCGGGGGATGGGACCCCACGCTGCAACAAGAGATTGTCGACGAGTACGAATACGACGGGGGAAACTCGAGTTCGAGACTTTTCGAACGCTCACGTATCAAGGCGTTAGCTGGTACGAAACATTGTTTATTCTTTTTTCATCACAGTGTAATCTCTGTCCTTTATTGATTCTATAAAACAAATACAACAAAGTTCTATTTTTTATAATATTATTTTGTAATAAAAACGATAATGCATTAGTGAATTTTTTTTTTTTTTTAGAAGATTGTATGGTTGTGATATCAATCAACCGCATCCTCTTGATAATCACTTTACTATAACTCTATTCTCAACAGTTGCTTTTTAGCCTGGGTTGAGAGTGGTCGTTTATTACAGTTATTTAAACTATTATTATAAATAATAATGGACTAGATTAAAAATAAATATTGATTATTTGAAAAAGAGCGAGAAAATAATATATATGTATATTAGAATTGCAGATCGTTTTTTTTTTTTTTTTTTTTAAAGATGAACTATGATAAAGTTGTATTTGATCTTCGAGGTAAAGAAACTTTATGATTTTAAGTCTAACGCTTATTATTAATTTAATTAATTCAGTTATTATTGAACAAAGATTTTAGATGAGTTTATATCTTAAATTAATATTATACAATATATCTTGATTAAAATATATATATTGGTCGAAATTTGTTAATAATTTATTAGAATCGCTTATGTGTATTTTTTTTTTGTTAGGTGAGCGTGAATTAGTGCAAAAGAAGACTTTCCAGAAATGGGTCAACTCCCACTTGGTTCGATGTTCGTGCCGGATCGGCGATCTGTACGTCGATCTGCGAGACGGCAAGATGCTGATAAGACTCTTAGAGATTCTATCGGGTGAGCGTTTACCGCGTCCCACCAAGGGCAAGATGCGCATCCATTGCCTAGAGAATGTGGACAAGGCCCTGCAATTCTTACGCGAGCAAAGGGTACATCTGGAGAACATGGGTTCTCATGACATCGTCGACGGAAATCCGCGTCTGAGTTTGGGTCTTATCTGGACGATCATCCTACGATTCCAGATCCAAGATATTACAATTGAAGAGACGGATAATCAGGAGACCAAGTCCGCCAAGGACGCGTTACTGCTGTGGTGTCAGATGAAGACCGCCGGTTATCACAACGTAAATGTAAGAAACTTCACGACATCGTGGCGGGACGGTCTGGCGTTTAACGCAATCATCCATAAACACCGTCCGGACCTGATCCAGTTTGATAAGCTTTCCAAATCGAACGCGATCTATAATCTTAACAATGCATTCAACGTCGCGGAAGACAAACTCGGTCTCACGAAACTCCTGGACGCTGAAGATATCTTCGTCGACCATCCGGACGAGAAGTCCATTATAACATATGTCGTTACATATTATCATTACTTCTCGAAGATGAAGCAGGAGACGGTGCAAGGTAAAAGGATTGGCAAAGTGGTCGGTATTGCGATGGAGAATGACCGTATGATACACGAATATGAGAGTCTCACCAGCGACCTGCTGCGTTGGATCGAAGCCACAATAGAGGCGCTTGGCGATCGCAGATTTGCGAATTCTTTAGTTGGCGTTCAGTCGCAACTCTCGCAATTCTCGAATTATCGCACTGTAGAAAAACCGCCTAAATTTGTGGAGAAGGGTAATCTTGAAGTACTACTGTTCACCTTGCAATCGAAAATGCGCGCAAATAATCAGAAGCCTTATACGCCCAAAGAAGGTAAGATGATATCCGATATCAACAAAGCCTGGGAGAGACTAGAAAAGGCGGAGCACGAACGAGAATTGGCCTTACGAGAGGAACTGATCCGGCAGGAGAAGTTGGAACAATTGGCGGCTAGATTTAATCGAAAGGCCAGCATGCGCGAGACATGGTTGTCAGAGAATCAACGACTGGTGTCGCAGGATAACTTCGGCTTTGATCTTGCCGCCGTGGAAGCTGCTGCCAAGAAACACGAGGCAATAGAAACCGACATTTTTGCCTATGAAGAGCGCGTGCAAGCCGTCATGGCAGTCTCACAAGAGCTTGAGGCTGAGAATTATCATGACATCGAGCGTATCAATGCTCGTAAGGACAACGTACTGCGCTTGTGGAATTATCTCCTAGAATTACTCCGCGCTAGGCGGATGCGATTGGAGTTGTCGCTGCAGCTGCAACAAAACTTCCAAGAGAAGTTGTATATTCTGGACAGCATGGAGGAGATCAAGATGCGACTATTGACGGATGATTACGGCAAACACTTGATGGGCGTGGAGGATCTGCTGCAAAAGCATTCTCTCGTCGAGGCAGACATCAACGTGCTAGGCGAGAGAGTCAAGGCTGTCGTTCAACAGAGTCAGAGATTCTTGGAGCACGGAGAGGGCTATCGACCGTGCGACCCAGCTATCATAGTTGAACGTGTGCAACAGCTGGAGAACGCGTACGCCGAACTGGTGCGGCTAGCGATCGAGCGTCGCACCAGACTTGAGGAATCTCGGAAGCTTTGGCAGTTTTATTGGGACATGGCCGACGAGGAGAATTGGATAAAGGAGAAGGAACAAATTGTATCTACAGGTGACATTGGTCATGATCTGACGACTATTAATCTTCTATTATCTAAGCACAAGGCGTTGGAAAATGAGATACAGTCACACGAGCCACAGTTGATGTCGGTCGCTGCCGTTGGCGACGAACTAGTTCGGCAACAACATTTCGGCTCGGATCGTATTCAAGAGAGACTCCAAGAAATTCTTGCCATGTGGAATCATCTACTGGATCTGGCAGCTTTTAGGAGAAAGCGGCTCGAAGAGGCTGTTGACTACCATCAGCTCTTTGCGGACGCAGACGATATCGATATTTGGATGTTGGATACCTTACGGCTCGTTTCATCGGAAGATGTCGGTAGAGACGAGGCGAATGTGCAGTCATTATTGAAAAAGCACAAGGATGTGACGGATGAGCTCAAGAATTACGCTACGACTATCGAGCAACTTCATCAGCAGGCGTCCACGTTAGGCGAGCAGGACGCGAAGTCGCCGGAGGTCCTGGAAAGACTGACCTCGATAGATAACAGGTACAAAGAGCTTCTCGAGCTGGCTAAAGTGCGTAAGCAAAGACTCTTGGATGCCCTGTCGTTGTATAAGGTATTCAGCGAGACTGACGGAGTTGAGCAATGGATCGGTGAGAAAAACAGAATGCTGGATACGATGGTGCCCGTCAAGGACATCGAAGACGTCGAGATCATGAAACACCGTTACAACGGTTTCGAGAAAGAGATGAACGCAAATGCATCTCGCGTTGCCGTGGTTAATCAATTGGCCAGACAATTGCTACACGTCGAGCATCCGAACTCGGAACAGATAATCGCACGACAGAACGAGCTCAATCAGAGATGGGCCGAGCTGCGCGAGAAGGCGGAGGGCAAACGCGAAGAGTTGAATTCCGCACACGGTGTGCAGACGTTCCATATTGAGTGTCGCGAGACCGTGTCGTGGATTGAGGATAAGAAGCGAATCTTACAGCAGACCGATAGCCTAGAGATGGATCTGACCGGCGTGATGACACTACAGCGCAGATTAAGTGGCATGGAACGTGATCTGGCGGCCATTCAGGCCAAATTGGATTCTCTGGAGAAGGAAGCAGAGGTCATACAGAAAGAACATCCAGAAGAGGCAGCTGTGATACGCGATAGAATCGCGCAGATCCATCTAATTTGGGAGCAGCTGACGCAAATGTTAAAGGAACGTGACGCCAAACTCGAAGAGGCCGGAGATTTGCACCGATTCTTGCGTGATCTCGATCACTTCCAAGCATGGCTCACGAAAACTCAGACTGATGTCGCCAGCGAGGACACACCGACCAGTCTTGCTGATGCCGAGAAGCTTCTTACGCAGCATCAGAACATCAAGGAGGAGATCGATAATTACACCGACGACTATCAGAAGATGATGGAGTACGGTGAGCGACTGACTACGGAGGCCGGCGACGGTGATACACAATACATGTTCCTGCGGGAAAGATTGAATGCGCTGAAGATGGGCTGGGAAGAGCTACATCAGATGTGGGTGAATCGTCAGAATTTGCTATCCAATTCTCTGAATCTACAAGTGTTCGATCGAGACGCGCGTCAAGCGGAGGTACTCCTGTCGCAACAGGAGCACATTCTTGCTAAGGATGAAACGCCAGCAAACTTCGAACAAGCAGAGCATATGATCAAGCGACACGAAGCTTTTATGACGACTATGGACGCCAATGACGAGAAGATTAATTCAGTTGTGCAATTTGCCGGACGTTTAGTCGATGAGGGACACTTCGCGGCCGATAAAGTGAGGAAGAAGGCCGAAAACATCAACGAGCGTCGCCGGGTCAATCGCGAGAGAGCTAATCAACTTATGGAGAAACTCAAGGATCAGCTTCAGTTACAGATGTTCCTGCAGGATTGCGAGGAACTTGGCGAATGGGTGCAAGAGAAACATATCACCGCTCAGGACGAAACATATAGAAGCGCAAAGACTATTCACAGCAAGTGGACTCGTCACCAGGCGTTTGAGGCGGAGATTGCGAGCAACAAGGATCGTTTGCAACAATTGCAGCAAGCCGCGGACGAATTGATTCAACAGAAACCAGACCTGGCCGAGATTATCAACCCGAAGGTAGCCGAATTAGCGGATCAATTTGTGGATTTGGAGACCACGACTCATGATAAGGGTGAACGATTGTTTGATGCGAATCGCGAGGTATTGATACACCAGACTTGCGATGACATCGACTCTTGGATGAACGAGCTCGAGAAGCAGATAGAAAGCACTGACACTGGTTCTGATTTGGCTTCTGTGAATATATTAATGCAGAAGCAACAGATGATCGAGACGCAAATGGCGGTGAAAGCAAAACAAGTTACCGAACTTGACAAGCAAGCGGAACATTTACAGCGCACAGTGCCGGACGATAAGATGGAGGAGATTAAGTGCAAAAAGGAGAAAGTCGCCCAGAGATTCGCGCAGCTTAAGGCGCCGCTCATCGATCGCCAACGGCACCTCGAGAAGAAGAAGGAAGCCTTCCAATTCCGGCGCGACGTCGAAGATGAGAAACTATGGATTGCGGAGAAAATGCCGCAGGCAACTAGTTCCGAATACGGAAACTCGTTGTTTAATGTTCACATGCTGAAGAAGAAAAATCAGTCGCTGCGTACCGAGATCGACAACCATGAACCCAGGATCAATCTAGTGTGCAATAACGGGCAGAAGTTGATTGATGAAGGACACGAGGATAGCCCTGAATTCCAGAAACTGATATCCGAATTAACAGAAAAGTGGCGCGAGCTAAAGGACGCGGTCGACGATAGAAACAGGCATTTGCTGCAAAACGAGAAAGCGCAGCAGTACTTCTTCGACGCTACCGAGGCCGAGTCGTGGATGAGCGAGCAAGAACTGTACATGATGGTTGAAGATCGCGGTAAGGATGAGATCTCCGCTCAGAATTTGATGAAAAAGCACGAGTCTCTGGAACACGCAGTCGAGGATTACGCGGAAACGATTCGTCAACTTGGCGAGACCGCCCGGCAGCTCATAAACGATCAGCATCCGTTGGCTGATCAGATCGCCGTGAAGCAATCGCAGGCAGACAAACTCTATGCCGGCTTGAAGGATCTGGCGGGTGAACGACGCGCCAAATTGGACGAGGCGCTCCAATTATTCATGTTGAACCGCGAGGTCGACGATCTCGAACAATGGATTCAGGAACGCGAACTGGTCGCCGGTAGTCACGAATTGGGTCAGGATTACGACCACGTAACTTTATTGTGGGAGAGATTTAAGGAGTTTGCGCGCGACACTGAGGCGATCGGTTCCGAGCGGGTAGAAGCCGTGAACGGCATCGCCGATTCTCTGATTGCCACCGGACACTCCGATGCGGCAACGATCGCCGAATGGAAGGACGGCTTAAACGAGGTCTGGCAAGATCTGCTCGAATTAATTGAGACGCGCACGCAGATGCTAGTGGCCAGTCGCGAACTGCACAAGTTCTTCCACGACTGCAAGGATGTTCTCGGTAGAATCCTAGAAAAACAGAACGCTATGTCCGATGAATTGGGTCGAGATGCCGGTTCGGTATCTGCTCTTCAACGTAAGCACACCAACTTCATCCAGGATTTGTCCACATTGCAGAGTCAAGTGACGCAGATCGAGGAGGAATCCGCCAAATTGCAAGCAAGCTATGCCGGTGACAAAGCACGAGAAATTACGAATCGCGAAGCCGAAGTTGTGGCAGCATGGAACAATTTGCAATCACTATGCGAGGGCAGACGGACTAAATTGGAAGACACCGGAGATCTCTTCAGATTCTTCAACATGGTTAGGACCTTGATGATCTGGATGGACGACGTTGTGCGTCAAATGAACACATCCGAAAAGCCACGCGACGTTGCCGGTGTTGAATTACTGATGAACAATCATCAGAGCTTAAAGGCGGAAATCGATGCTAGAGAGGATAATCTGATGGCGTGCATCAATCTCGGGAAAGACTTGCTAGCCAGAAATCATTACGCTAGCGCGCAAATAAAGGAAAAACTGGCAGCACTGACGGACCACAGAAACGCGCTTTTGCATCGATGGGAGGAACGTTGGGAAAATTTGCAGCTCAGTAAGTTGTGTACTTGCCACTCGAAAATATATTTCAATTTTATATTGCACAATTTGATATCTTTTGATTAATATTACTGGGATACTGGGTACTTATAAGATATCTAGTGTTTCGAAAATCATAAATATACTGTATGCATATACATGTGTGTTTATTTATACTTGTTTATTTTTTGCCATAGTTTTGGAAGTCTATCAGTTTGCCCGAGATGCAGCGGTTGCTGAAGCATGGTTAATTGCTCAAGAACCGTATCTTATGAGTCAGGAGCTCGGTGTAAGTACTTATTTTTATGAATATAAATTCGAATTTTTAATTGAGCGGGCAATCTAAAAAAGAAAATTGTTATTTCCACAGCATACTATTGACGAAGTTGAAAATTTGATCAAGAAACATGAAGCTTTTGAAAAATCGGCAGCTGCACAAGAAGAAAGATTTAGTGCCTTGCACCGACTTACCACAGTGAGTAGTCGAACATATGCGCGCACACATAATCATTCCTAATATTGTAATAGAAAATGCCGCAAATTAATTATATTAATATTGTAAATTTTCTGCTTTATGATCTATTTAAATATATAAATCTTATCATATACACATCCACATACAGTTATCTATTACGTGTATTTCTATCTTTTTTATATTACAATGCTAGTATAATTTAATAAAACAGAGTATGAATTATGAATATTACGGTTTTGGAAATAAATAATGTTTTTTTCTTAATGCACAGTTTGAATTGAAAGAGCTGAAGCGACGGGAGCAAGAAAGGGAAGAAGAGGAAAGACGCAAGAAGGAAGAGGCGGCAGCGGCGGAGGCCGCACGTTTGGCCAAGGCAACGCCCGTTACTAGTCCAGACGAACCACCTAGTGAAAGGTAATGTGTAAATATTTTATCGTGATAACATGATGATATGATTATCATGAATAAATTTTGTTTGCTACAGAGCCGAAACTGACGGAGCAACAAGCGGAGAACGCGCTGAAGACGAGGGACACGGTAATATGACTGCACTTAATAAATATGTTTTGGGTTTATACTAATCGAAACTATAACTCTTCTCGGTACTTACCTTCTAATTCGTCTTACAATTTTGCATTTTGTTTGGAGAATAACGATCGGTATTTAATATACATACATTATTTAGAATGTAATGTCGAGTGCTTTCCTAATGGGGTTGTACTTAATGTGTTTGTAAGACTTATTGATTTGGCGTAGTAACGATTGCGAGATGGTAGTAATTAATTTTGTTTAACCGAAAGAGATTGAAAAAATCAAATCGAGTTTAGTATATAAGCATTTTTTTTTTCTTTTTTTGTTATGACTAATAATATCGATACAGCAAAGAATCTTGCTTCTTGACATAAAATTTAACTCTGGCGACTAGCATTACGGTTTGTTTGGATAAGCATGTATGACGTCGCTAACAGCACGTTTATTTTTGCCTTCTCCTATCCGCGCAACCTAAATCTATTCCGTACATGAAATCCATCGGTCCACGTCATCTCATATTATCCTTTCCGAATGCACCCTAATGCGGCACGGAATGCACGAACCACAGTGGCACATCGCAAGGCTTCTACACGTACACCACAGCCTCAAGACAAGCCCAAGGAAGGTGAGTGTTACGTGATGCGTGTAAAACTTGTGCAGATTAAAACTTTTATATTAAGTACATCTCTTAATATTTTTCTACGACTGCCTTGAAATTATAATCGGATCTTATGGTGGTTCCTGTAATCTCTCATCAAACTGGTGATGGATGGATAATTACAACATTGTATCTTCATAACAGTACTTAAATTGCTTTTCTCTGTGGATTCACATAAGCATCAAGCCACATATGTTACGATAATTTTATATCTTTCAGCATACTCGTAGCAGCACCGCACCTATCACTCTCGCCCGCACAAGCCATCATTTATGCGCTTTTATAATTTTTTTTTTTCTTTACCAGGTGTTGGCTGTTTTACCAGAGATGCTCTTCTCGTTATCTGTCACAAGCTGATATATCAATCATATATTTCATAATTTACTAAATATTTCAAATAATATAGATAATATTTAGTGGACACACACGTATGTACGTGAAACGATATACACGTAACAATATAATTCTAATTAAACATTATCTATATTATTATTATTAATATTTTTGTTGTACTATAAACTCTGTTATAAACATTTCATTTCGCACGGCTGACTTGGTAGGTACACATTTGAACATATGTCATATTCCATCGCACGATTATGTCGACTTACATAAATGATAAAGTGCTTAAATATCTTATTGGAAGGTAAGCATGGAATCATCTCTTCGTCGTTATTCTACAGGTGTAGAAACACGACTCTATGTTTTGTCGTTTACTTGAATATTTGGATGCGATATATCATTATAAATATAATAAATATTTATATATAATATAAATATATAA